ATAACTCAATTTATTTAACTTTTGCTCTTATCTATGGCTTAGGAGTGTAATAATTATATTTTTTATAATTAATTTGTATTAAAAATATAAATGTTTAATTTAATTTAATTAATTGATTAATTAAAATTTTACATATAATAATAACATTAAAATAAATGTTAATTTTTATATTTTTTAATATAAATTAATTGTAAAGGAGACCCACAAGTTAGACAAATTGCACCATTGTCACATGTTTAAGGCCTAGTAAATATACTATTTTACAATTTATATGAAAAATCATAAAAATTGACCCTTTTTTTTAATATCATTATCATATGAATAATTTTACTTGATAATTAATTAAATTAAAGTCAATATTTATATCTTTCATATAAATTAATTATAAAAAAATGCACAGATTAAAAGCACGTTTTAAAAAATTTGTTTAAATTAGTGACGAGGATTATTAATGAATCTACAATGTCTGCCTGATTCAATGATACTAAAATTTTACTGTAATTTTCTCAAAATTTTAATTAAAGCAGTACTGTTCACGACCTGGCTTCCAATAATGCGCCCAGTCTTCTTAACTCTATCGTGATGCTTTTTATTTATTTATTCTTACCTGCATAAGACGCTGACGACCGAAAGAATTTTACTAATTTGCTTTTTTAGTTGAGATTATGCTTTAATTCTGATTTATGCGTATTTAAATGTGATAAAATCTTAATAAAGCAGAGATTTAATTCTTTGTCTCCCTTTTTTCCATTGCTTTTTTACCACTTTATATCCTCCATTATATCACTTTAATTACCTCCCTCCCCCCTCTTTTTTGTGCTTTCTTTAAACGCCCCACCAAATTTATAAAATTGCCATAGATGCCTACATTTGTAAAGACCCTATAACATTAAGATGGTAAGTTCGAATCCCGTTTTATAAGGAATTTATTTTTTTAATGAAAATATTACTTTAAAAAGTAATTTTTTATAGTACTTTAATGTAAAATATTATGTTTGTATTTTGACCATGAGACGGACCCTTTTTTTTGTAATATTGTAGGGTATGTTTCGCATAAATTTTTGTAAATGTGATCTCATAATATTGTTGTAGACAGAAAAGATTATATTCCCATCTAAGAAGAAAATATATTTTTTGAGTAAGGAAGTCCTACTACTATGTAGTATACAACTACTCCTAGTAGCAGTAATAGATTTGACTCTACTTTTAATTAATTAATTATAAATGTTTTATTTTGTAATTTAAATTGTATTAAATTATAAAAAAACTTATTAAATGAAAAAAATATTATACAATATCAAAAAAACTTGTTCTTATTTAATAATTTAGGTTGCTCAAATTGATAGACTACACATACTTTTTTGATTAATTATATAATAGTACAGTTTCACTAAATTAAGTTGCTAAAAGTACTTTGACTGGCATTTTTTCGGTCACTTTCTATAGGAATCAAAAATATACATAAATTACTACATCATATCTATTCTATATATTCCTCCTCAATCTATCTTTAGCAAATTTCAGTAAACATCTTCCAAAGGTGAAAGCTGTAACATTATATGTGTGTGTGGGGGTTTCATTAATTATGATTCAACTAGCATCTTATTCATTTGCTAAAGCGAGGTAGCATAACCTTTTAGAGAGAGATATTCCAGATATATATGATTACAATCTTAATAGAAGACCAAATTTTTTGGAATTTAATTTAGCCAAAGTCAAATCCGATTTCAGAGCATTGTTAATTGGTAAAATCTCACGTTAAGCCCCTAAATTTACCTTAGGCTTTTTATTAATAAAAATAAGATATTGACATATCATTACATACATAGTGAGATTTTACCAATTTAGGCAATGTAATTCATTTTTTACTACAAACTTAATATTCATTTGTGCCTCACTTATATAAATAAGATATTGACATATCATTACATACATAGTGAATATTGACTTTATTCACATAAAAAGTATAAATGAGTGTTAAATTTGTAACATGAAAAATGATTTAATTGCATAAATCGTTAAATTCAAGAATTTATTTATTTCAATAAAAATTTAAAAATTTAATTAAAAATTTAAAATAAGTTCGGAACTTAACCTGGGGTTTTGCTATGTTAATTTGCTCAATCTTTGCGTCTCTTTTTTAATATTGCAGATGTATTTGCAGCCGACCATTGCTGCTTTTTTTTTTTTCTCCCTTTTCTTAGGTGGGTGCGTTTTAATTATTCAATGGATTAATTTATCAGAGATTCCTTATGAAATGGGAAATAACAGTAATATTTTGATGATTATATCGCTCCATATAAATTACTTTAGGGTTAATTGAATTAATTTTAAGGTCTCCTCCAAGAGTACTGTTGTACAATATATATAAATGTATATATATATATATATATTAGGTTGTGACTATATTTATAGGTTTTTTATTTTATTATTTTAAAATATAAAAAATTAATTAAAATTAGTAAGAATATATAAAGTTTTAATTAATTAAGAATAATAGTTTTGTATTTTTAAAAAGATATTGTGAGAAAAATATTTATAAGAAGTCTTATTAAACAAAACCTAATACTTATAGTAAGTAGTATATAGTTACTGTCCAATTTTAGTTTAGCAATTAAGGAGTGATGGTTATAATCAATATTCAATATATAAAAGAGGTTAGCCCCATAAGTAAAAGAGCCTACTTTTCTCCTAATTCCTAATCTCCCATTACATAATTCTGGATATAATACATAATAATTAATTGTTGTTATTTATAATTCATTCATCCAATTAAAAAAAACATGCTTTCGCAAAACCAAGACAAGACCTGCTTTTTTAAGAATACTCCCCTAACAACATTGCCAAAACTGAGAATCTTAGGATTGTTTGGTATAATAGTTAAAATTTAGTAAATAACATATAGCGGATAGTGGTAGTGGTTAGCGGGTAGTGGGTAGCGGATAGCAAGTAGCGGGTAGCAGGTAACAGGTAGCGGGTAGTAGGTAGCAGGTAGCAGGTAGCAGGT